CCTAATTCACTCTTCAAAATCCACACATCCAGAAACCACGTAGGCGGATAGCTAGATGTGTACACACTCACGAACAGACACACAGAACGTATATTGGCTTGGATGACGAGCAGGCGAGAGATGGCCTCAGCCTCTTGACCAGATGAATACTGCACCCATCATACATTGCGTGCACACACAGTGTGCTTTTCAGGCCTCGGTATGAATGCGAGACAGGTCAAAAGACTGCCTCAAATTCAGCGTTTGCGTCTGTGCAACTCCTGCCGGTCTGATAATTTCAGGCAGACGGTGAGTTAAGCGTTCTGCGACTCCTTTTGCTCCCCCAGCCCTGTTGTGTGATACACGAAGATTCCGACAGAAGTACACACCACCATTCAGCCTTTCAAGTACCAACTCGTAGACAATAAGGACTCATTCTCAGAGCATTCTCCAGTCACCAGGCCACAGAGGAGCCTGTTCGATGCATGAATCGATGCAGGCCAGCCTCCTATTGAACTGTATCTCCTGGATCCTCTTTACCAATGCCAACAGTTGACAAGGTCATCTAACCAGAAGAGGACTCTACTAAAGCATATCTTCACCTGACAACTGGTCAACTCAGTTGTCTTGGTACCATCGCCTTTTTCCCATCCCTTCGCCATGGAATTATCCCTTCTTCTTCCCGACAGCATCGGTTTCCACATTGTCTGGATTTTGCTATTCACGCTGCTGCCCTCGTGTCTTGTGCAGTGTGGAGAAGACGAGTTGCTCAGGTGCCCCAGTATAGGTGAACTTTTGCACGACTTTCTTGGACGGGATGACATTGTTATCATACAGGCGGGCCTGCAGAATCCCGCAAATCAACAGCTCATCGTCACGGGTCAGGAAAGGGTTTCGAGGTCCACCTCGGTGGGTGTGGTGCATATTCGTGTCAACGGCCTTCTCGGGCAGCCTGGAAACCATACCGGCGGCCATAAAGCATTTAACTTTTCATCCTGTCCTCAGAAAGTGATCAGCCTCGTCGGAATACGACCTCGACGTGGAGATCCAATGGCCTGTTTGCCGGATTTGACGCGATCGGGAAAAGAGTATGTCTGGCTTCTGCATAATAGTCCGGTGGACAATGCGACCAGCTGCCGATACCGAGCTGTTCCTGGGGGCGTATTTGCTCTGGAAAGATTCTACAATGAATTGAGACCTTCACGCGGAAGACAGGATGTTCGCAAACCAGGTTGAAGCATTCGACGATAAGCTCTATAAATGCATTCTAGCTTTCAAGTTGATGGTGTTGGCTCGAGTTCGCTTTCACAACTTGGTCGAAACACTCGTGATTTTCACCATTATAGCATTGACTTGGTACATTTCTAAACGTCAATATACCAAGTCAATGGTGTGATGCTGAAAATCGCTGTAAGGCTAAAGGAGACTGCGACCAAACAGAAAGCCACACCATCTTGGTCTTCATACCTACGTTTCAATTTCAGGGACATAATCTCAGCTTTCATAGTCAACATAAAATTCCTTTGTGTCTTGGAAAAAAAATATGCATTAAACTGGTATATTACAGAGTGAAATTGAGGCTTAAATAGTTAGGTTTGAACCAAATTGCCAAGCTTGACAGACAAGCCAGGATCAGCACGATGATTAAAAAATCTTCGTAATGTCTCAGTCAGGGCTAACTAATCTTCGTCTAGCCAATGCATCCGAACTGTATATAAATTAATTGTGTGTATGTAAATTTTTAAGAAAAATTTATTTTTTTTACTTTTCCTGATCTGTTTTAGTGAAATGGACTAATCCGAGTAATTTGGCTCTAAAGATAATAATAGGAACATATTACTCAATTACAATACTCTGATATCAAATTTTCACA